TTATTATGCAATGGCTTTGTATCTGTCTTTCTGTTTATCTGTCTGCCTGTGTGCCCCACCCCCTTATGTTTCCTTCTCTCTCTCTCTCTCTCTCTCTCTCTCTCTCTCTCTTTTGCTACCTACATCTATCTTTTTTTCTTAATTTACCTTGTTTTTTGTTTCTCCGTTCCTATCTCCCTCACTTTTTTTTCTAAATCTAATACAGGCTTAATTTTTGCGCTATCTATGTACACAGTCCTTATATCTCTTTATTCCAGATTTAAAGTTGACTGAATATAGAGTCCTCGCTATCCCTGAAAATGCTCATATTTTCGTATAGCCTACACTGATAATGCATTAGGAATATTCAGAATTATGCAACTCATGTATTCAACGAATCCATTCGATGAAAATATCCCCGTGTCAATTCCAATTAACGAGAAAAATATGAAACGTCTATCCTGGCATGATATCAAAAGTTTAACGTCACTATATCACGCGAATTCGAGGAACTTTGGTTAACGTGCGATTTCAAGTTTCATGTTTAATATGTTTAAAGTTAAATCTCAATGCATTGCTATATTTAGAAGTACTAAGTCAGATGATCTCAAATTAGATTTTATACAGTTTGCGGAAAATAAATAGAACGTCGGTCATTTCATGCATCCATGCATTTTTTTTCCTATCAGAGTCTCAGTTTAGATAAACATTAGGTTTTTTGTCCTTGAGTCTGTTAACTATATGACTTTGCACTTATTTTGCATTTGAATTCCAAAATATTAGATATTAAGCTCTTTTTTCTTATTACGTCATGTCAATCATTATAAGAAACAAAACGAGCTCTTTCACAGTGATGCAGTCTGACTGTGATTGATTTTTGGCCAAAACTTTTATCTGGATACTTTCCTTACAAGATAACCGATTTATTTATTTATTTTTGCTCGTTGGCAAATTTAAGCATCTTAAACATTTCTGCAGAGTTATTCTACACCTCACCCCGACCCCCCTCCCCCCCCCCCGAAAAAAATAAAGAAAAAAAGTCTTCTTTAATTTCTTATTTCTCTCTCTTTTCGTATACAATTCCAAAATCATACTCCTAATAAAAGGATAACTTTAACGGATTTTTTTTATTTTTTTTGTCGCGTGCATGTTTAAAAGTGTGTCATAGTACAGACGGGGTTATTAACGTGTATGTTTACCCTCAACCCTATGTTGTGGGCTGTTGTTTACCCCCTTTCTCATCCCCCTACCTGCCCTATATTTCCCGCGAGTTAACATTATGTATCATCAGTGATTAAGTCATAAATATAACTTTCCTCATCGTGTTCATTTTATCCAGTTGTATAGCGTCGGTGCACTGTCACAAACGCTTTGCTTAATTTGATTTGATTTATTTTCTTCTTCATTCCATATAAATATAATAACAATCATAATCAATCAAATAGACACAATTATTATAGGAAAAAGTGAAAAGATAGATTGTCAAATTATCATATTTCATCAAACTCTATAAAGTCATTTGCGAAAGAAGGTCTGACATTGTTAGCAAATCACTTGAAAATATGACAGCCAAAAAAAAAATCTAATGAAATAGATGAACATAATTTGTTAAGCAGAATGGACAAATATAAATTTAGAATATGATAATAATGATGATGATATTACTTATGTTAATATTCATGATGCTATGGCCTCAATTTGTGTACTGTTGTTTCCTATACGATTACTACCATATGATCATAGATAATAGTCACTGTATCTAATCGTGGTCAGGATGTTTTCAGTAGGGGGACAGGGGGTTCAACACATTTAGGGGCACCAACATGCCCTCACATAGTTACAATATAATATAATTAATTGCATTGTTTAGTAATGAAAACTGGCATCTGAATGCATTACGTATATTGCAGTTCTTAAGCATTGTATAACTATTGTTCTTTTTCTTTCTTTTGTCAAAGAATCTTTTTTGTAAATGTAATGCTTCCTGGGAGAAATATCAACTGTTTAAACATATTTGTGGCTTACACCCAGTAATTAAATAAGATCGATTGATCGATCTGTAATTGAAAACAAGTCAGAAAAAATCTTGGAACCAGCGAGATCTTGTAGAGGGACCGGGTCCCCAGCCCACCCCCCCCCCCCCGTTTTATACGCCTCTTTGTCTTATTTAAACAAATATATATTATTGCATTTATATAACTTTGAACCATTTTGTTACAGTCATGGTTAGGAAATTTATATAGCGCTCTATATACCGGAATAGTAAATAAAACAATAAAAGAACATGACTACTGTTACTTTTTCTTTATTTATTTAACTTCTGAAGGATACATTACTGTTTCTATTCTTGATCTCACCCATTTTGGCGATTTTGTTCCCCCCCCCCCCCCAGCACAGACTCGGTTATGTTCATTTATCATTTAATCTATTTTAGGCAAAACGATATAGTTGGGTAAATTAGACAATTATATTTTCTGGATGTTTGCCCATATACCTGTATTTTTGTAATCCGGCCAACATTCTTCGCATTTATAAGTTGCCAATATTCAGCGCTTGCGTGTTGCGCATATGCCTTTTTTTCTTTTGTATTTTGCTAATAATACAGAAGTGAATTTTAAGGGGTCGAAAGAACCCCCTAAACCATGACCTAAAAAGGCAGGTTTGTTATTTAAGTAGGATGCTGGCAGACAAGTTTAGATCAGTGTCAACAATTGTCACGATTGTTTTACTTTTAATTGGGTTTAAAGTTTGGGGCAGATTTGGGGTTTTTCCACTTATCGCTTAAATCAATGAAAAAAAAATGATGATGTGATTTGAGGCTAATTGTCACTCTCAGTCACCATATTTGGGAGTTGACACGGGGGTGACATAATGACGTACATTTTACAGTTATAGTAATTAGACCCGTGGTTAAGAGAAATGGTAAAAGCGAGCGGAAAATACTAATTTCCTAAGTTAGGCCCACATAATCGTGGAAAATTAAATGAATGAATTTGTTTGGCTGTAATGATTAACCACTTTGGAGTTTAAGGTATTTCTTTTGTCATCTAAAGTTTTTAGGCACAATGTTTGTATGTTTGCGTGAATTTTACACACACATTTTATCAATATTGTGAATAAAAATTGTAGTAATGCTCTGTCTCCTGATATAAGTCAATGAATAGACTTAGATGTGAAAGATATCCTGACAAAACAAACGATCAGAAATATTCCTTATCTTTTATCCCAAGGAAGCATTTGTAATATCATTTATCATTTCATTCTCTTCTCCTCTCTCTCTCTCTCTCTCTCTCTCTCTCTCTCTCTCTCTCTCTCCTCTCCCTCTCTCTTTTTTTCCTCTCTCTCTCCCTCCCTCTCTCTCCCTCCCTCTCTCTCTCTTTACCTGTCAAAAAAAAATCACTTGTGTCAACTAGATAAAATCACAGAATGATCACATGCAGTCACATTAAAAGATGGGCTCGCAACTAGATAATAATTATATGGAGAGAATATAAATAATGCCTGATCATGTTGTCGAATGTCGATGAATGATCGACCAACATGAGTAAGATATTTCATGGCTCCCACCTGCTGTGAAAGCCCATCAGCATGCTGAATTCTTTCACATAATCACCGATCATTAGCTGACTCGATGAGATTTAATTGTTCTATTATCAAAAACATTTTATTGTAGTTTCTGAACATGCAATACGTCATTCCCATTGTGTGAGTAGCCTCTACTTTCTTTCTTTCGAAAATGTATTGTTTAAAAGAAGAAACAAATCTAGTCTATCAAATTTATTATTTTCCATTACACAGAATATTGAAATTTATATTTTGGTTTGGTCGCTAAGAAAGCATGTGTATGCTTGTAAGACAGTAAGCAACCATTGGACTAACAACTTTAAGTCCTGCCCCCCCCCCCCCCTCCGCATTCTTGTTCCCAAAATCCGGCCCGAAAAGTGTTTTAAAAAAGTGGGTGTTTTTGACTTTTCACCTGGAAATTTCTTTAAAAAGGGGTGTCCCCCCCCCCTTCTCTCTCTCTCTCTCTCTCTCTCTCTCTCTCTCTCTCTCTCTCTTTGGACTCTTGAGAAATTTTAAAAGGGGGTTATAAAATATCTCGATAGGGGGCACATTGAGCAGTGTTTAGGATTTAGGGGGTCTCCAAGGCAGGAAAAGTCCGCGAAAAGCCCGCGTAAGGGGGGGTTCAGAAATATTTGCTTTCTCTAAGATAGGGGGTGCTTTCAAAGGGAGGGAACAAGCATACGCGTTCCTAAATAACACTGAGTGTGGGGCGGGCTTTAAGTCCTCTTCAAGGGCTTCGTAATGAGGATTAATGTCTTAGCATAAGGCCTGGGACCTACCAGTCTACTGCTCTAATACTGAGAATTGCCCGACAACAACGTGATGGAGTTAATCACAACCTATCAAATACACATGTAGCTTCACAGAAAACAAGAAAATAGTGCATTTGAACTTAGCAAGAAGGGCGTGGCTGATGGGGGGGCGGCTTCGTCGCGACTAAATACGCCATAATGTATTATCGACAGGGCAATGTTTTTGATTTTTAAGAAGTCCAACACCGGCTGTTAACGTGCAACAATATAAGTTTCTCATTATGTACACACATACATAGGCCTGTTATTAATATTAATAACTTACCTTTACAAATAGAGATTGCTGTGAGGAAAGAGAAAATGGTCGTTAAACGAACAAAAATCTCGAAAATTGTTTGCACTTATGAGTTACATCTATATACGTTTATCGAAAGAGGTCCATTTTTGGGTTAAATCATGCGTAAGTGGAGGCCCAGGATGAAAAGGGTATTCTGCGGAAATGAAGTCACTAGTCAGATGTCAAGACTTGACCTTTAATCATATCTAATCGAAGTTGATATCTTCTCTTAAGATACAGTTAAAACTTGTCCAAAATATTAGAGAACATTATGACAGCATATTAATCTCTTCTGCGAAATAATGCGGGCGCGCGAGATTAACGCGCTCTTTCTCAAAAGTACACTGTCAAAAAGTAGCGCGCCGCTGTAAAATCAATCCTGTCAATGCTTGGTTGTGTGTTTCGAGTTAATTCGTCGGGTTAGGTCAGAAGGGGGCCGATATATAAAGCGGTCAAACTTTTAGGGGTACCATTCCATCCTGACATTTAATTGATACGGACTTTCTGCCTCGGTACTGATTATTTATTTCTGTTCCTGCGATCTTTCTTCCTCGAGGGAAGTGTGTTTTAATACTCGCCTTCAACATGAAAACTGTACTAGCTATCGTCTGTTTCTTCGGTAAGTTGCAATTACTTTTTCTTTTCTTTAAACAAAAATTGTTTGTTGCTAAAATGATTTATAGAAAGAAACGTCGTAGTACGTGTTGGTTTGTTTTGGGGTTCGTTTTTTGGTTGGTTAGTTTGGGGTATGTTTTAGCTCTTGAATAAATAAAAAGATCTAGATTAAATGCAAGGTTGAGCCTTTTGTCCCTATAATTATGTTCTATCAAGTTTTATAAATCGGTAAATATATGATCTGCACGAGGGCTAGAGGACCCACGTGATTAGAACCCATGCAGTTTTGGACCCCCCTTCCGCAAAATATTTAATTTTCCTTAATCATTAAAAAGACAGAAGTTCACATGTGTAATTTCGTATGTACTTTTGCTTTCATTAAATTCATTTTATACCCTCCTGAAACAATAATTCCCAATCAATTTTTTACAGAAAATGTTTAGTTAATGCATTCGTACAGAATTACAAATTACGAGGTCCTTGTCAAACTATATAGTGATGTCACGTCTTAAAAGTTTTGCACTGCAGCACCTTACATATTAAATTGTGGTGTATTTTAAAGCAGGTGATTGCCCACTAATTTGGACCCCTTATCATACAGATTGATTTAAATTGTTTAGGACTGGGCTTTTGAGTAACTGACGTCAACTGTGAACTTGTGAATTGTGCTTGTCAGCTTCCAGTTTTGCCTTCAAGTTTTAATATCATTTGTTTTATACATTTTTTGTTTTAACTGGCACGAGCCTCATGAAAGCACTGAATGACATAATAATAGTGTACTTTTCATAAATAATTAGAACTTTTTTGTTTATTTAATCAACAAAAGACCGAAAGATGCATCGTTAAAAATGTTTGTCATTTATATTTCCATGGAATAAATGCTCTAGACGGCAAGAAAGTAATGAAAAGCAGCGAGCAAAATTACTGTCAAGGGAAAGAAATTTGATAATTTTCGAATTCCTTGCCTTGAACTCGACAAAGATTTTACTTAAACTTTTCCGTTTGTTTTTTCGAGCATAATTTCACAATTAAGGCAACCATTTTTTTAAATTTAAAAAAAAAAAAATATTCACGGGTGTCTTTAAAATATATCAGAAGCTTTGCATTAACTAAGTTTATCCTAAAAATCTCGCAGGTTGACACTCCAACTAATACCACAGGAAATGCTTTAATTTCATGGAATTTAAAAGTTTCAAAATATATTAAGGTAGCTAGTTCTAAAGCCCAACGGGACCAAATAGCCAAAATTGATATTTGTAAATCTGATGGCTTATGCGAGTTCGTTTCATCCATTTAATGATGTATTCCATTATCTGTTTTTGTTATAGATTCATTTATCATAGTTGTCTGTAGTAGTATTTTTCAAGTTTCTCTTTGTTCGTTCATTTGATTGTTGTTGTGTTTTAATTCAAGAATGTATTTATTTGTTTCTATATTTATTTCTGTATTCGTTCAATTTTGTATTCAAGTAATAATTCATTCATCTTATTTGTTCGTATATCATTCTATCAATTTTTTTTATTTATTTTATTGTTTCTTGCAATCTCCCTCCTCCTCTCTCTCTCTCTCTCTCTCTCTCTCTCCCTCTCTCTCTCTCTCTCTCTCTCTCTCTCTCTCTGTCTGTCTGTCTGTCTCTAACAAATTAGTAGCTTCTTCTTTGTGCTATTCATTTCTGTCATCACCTTCTTTATTCGTCAATGTTTTCTTAACCTTCATTACTCTACTAGTCAGTTAACACTGGTCTGCCAAAATGAATTCGAGACATGTCCATTCCTTTTATTGCGTAATAGTGGACTTCTTCAGAGACAGTCCAAGCTAAATTTAGACATCCGTGTACCGATTCTTTCAAAGTTGATGAGAGTATATTTATTGTAGGGGGTGCATGCAGAAAATAATCATTGTAATTAGGGGCCCACTTCTAATCATAGCAAACGGGAGGAAACTCCCTGTTAACTTGATAATTCCGTGATATCCTCTATCTTCGTTTAAATGTTGAGCCAGAAAAAGAAACAGATCCGTGTGCCAAGATATTCACATGTGTCCAGCTTTGATGCTCCGAAATAGCGCTTTACAATTTGAATGAATATATATACTAGGTTGTGTGATATGTTCTGCCAAGTTCGTACGATGCCCAAATCCGTGTTAAGTAGTTTTCAGATATGGCTTGTGGAAGGTAGTGAAACTTTCAGCGTCGAGGAGATCCAGTTTTATCTCACTTTTCCGCTTGATGATTAGTTATAATGACAAGGAATTATTAAGTAAATGATTATAAATGTAATCAAAATTTAATTGTAGCTAACAGCAGGCGCGGATCCAGGATTTCTTAGGGGAGGGGGCCCAACTTTTTTTTTTTTTTTTTTGCTCCCGAAAATTTGAAAATCGCGCCGGCCGAAAAGTCGCTCAGTGGGGGGGGGGGGGGTAAGCGGACATTTTTTGCCACTGGATCCGCCACTGGCTAACAGCACACTAACTGAGATGTGTTATTTTAGTACATCATAATCCCGTGCATGGGCTCATGTTTTCACCTTCTATAAGTGGTTGCCATACACACAAATAATACATGTTTATCTGCTCGTTTTTCTTGTTATTGCTTTTTTTTTACCTCATAACACTCGTGGATTACTTTACATCAGTCTATATATTATTTCATAGGCGGTATTTATATTGTATATGGACAGCTATAAATAATACAATCTTAGCTTTTCTTACATGTTCCCGTATTAAGGGTCCAGCAACCAGCTGGGTAGATACAGAGAGGCACCCCCTCCCCAGTTGAATTGCAGGAATAAATTAGGGAAAGGAAAAATAGAGAGGAGATGGTAAAATAAACGTCAACAGAAGATGATAGGACCCTTTTTTCCAACTTTACTCTGAATACCCTCTCTTATCGATGGCCTTGTTAAGTCACATGGCACACATTTACAAGTACGTAGGCCGCCCCCCCCCCCTCAATGATGGTCATCCCCCCCCCCCCCCCATCCCCAATGGCTGGGGCTATACTATGCCATCATAGACTAATGTTCATAATGTGATCATAAACTGGCTTCCATGGTTATTGCGGCGTTTATTTTTATTTTTTAACGAAAATACGGTGCCATGGATGTAATTGTTGTGAATCATCCTCATCATCATCATTATCAATTTATCTCATTTTTTGTGACCACACAGCTTCCCTTGCCCTCCTGGAAGCTCAGTCGTTCGGCGGCTCGTCGGGCGAGCAGTCATCCGTCGGTATAATGGGCGGCAACGGCCTCGGTGGCGGAGGACAGATGAACGGTAACAACTACGACAACGACAACGAGTTGGAGACAAATGAACTGGACAACGAGTTTGAAAGTAACGCCGGCATGCCCAACCTCTTCGGAAACGGAGCCAGCAACCTTTCCGACAGGACGTCCGGTGGTCAAAAGGCCGGCATCGTCATCGGAACCATAATCATTGTCGCGTTAGTAGCAGGCGGTGCATTCTACTTCATCAAAAGGCGCTGATAATGGCGTCGATGATGACGAATCGAACTCGTGTCCTCTTAGTATCCCGAAAGCGGAGATGCTCCTGATTTTATTTTTACTAACAAATACGGCTCCATCTCGTCTCCATGGAAACAATTAGCTGGACTAGTTGACGATGAGTTAGACCCATTGATGTCTTTACTACAACCAGAGTTTGATAATCGCAGCCTATAGTTTGATAATGCCGAGAGTTTGAAACTATTCTTAAACTTCCACTCAGAAAAATATCAAGCAACGATTTTTCTGTTATCTGACCGTATAGTGCGCATCGTGTGGTAGACTGCAAAGGGCCCACTACAATAAGAGCATAGACATGATAAACGTGCCAAAATGGAAGGATTTGTTTCAAAATTTGAAATCAAAATTCGATACACAATATCTCTAAACACCTGCTAAATGTCATGACAAATCTGGATAGGTACTAGCTTCGTTTTTCATGAATCGCTAAATTTTTGTACTGGTCGTGTTTGAATATTTGAGCGCCATTTAATGATACCCATTTCTAATAAGAAACGTGTGCTGCAGTATCGTTTCCATTAAACTAGTGCAATAATACTTGATATTTTTATTTATTTGCCATTTTCATTTATATTCATTGCATATTAATTAACGAGGTTATAACTTGAATAACTTATTTTCCAGAAAAGTCCAACTATTTTAAGCTCGGAATGGTCAAATGCATAACAGTGTTTGTATGTTTGTTTCGTTTTATTTGTTTGTTTGTTGTTGTTTTTTCAGGATGTGTTTTTGAAAAGTGCGATCATTTTCTCCCTCCATTATAATGTATGATTATCAATCGTCTGTATATTAGTATTTTGGGTATTTACTGTAAATAAAGTAGTAAACATAGCACATAACTATCATTTTAAGGATCTTAATGCTAATCTCAAAAAATTGTATGTATCAAGTTGAATCCTTATAATTTTCATATTTTATTTTATTATATAATGTCTACGATGAACAGTAATGTTACATTAATATATAGAAAATTGATGAAAAGACGTTATGTTGGCTTTGCCATTAGTTTCTTTTTTTTGTGCTGCTATAAGAGATGATTCTTGTTTCTGATTTTACTCTAACTTAAAATATTTAATTTATAGTTTGCACACGAAAATTTGTTCCTATTTGAATGAGATTTTGTTTTTGTATCAGTGGTCGATATTTGTCATCAATAGTATTTGTCTTTATTATGTTATTTTTCATTAAACGTAAAGAAATATTCACAGTTCGCTTGGACATCGTTCTTTTTATAACTATATTTCAGTCAACTACTTTTTCCATTAACCCCCCCCCCCCTCTCTCCCTCTCTCTTTCTCTCTCTTTCCCTCTCTCTCTCTCTCTCTCTCCCTCTCTCCGCTATTTTCCTTTCATTTAAAAAATCTATTTCACCTTACCTGTATCAGTTGAATTCGCAATGTTAATTAACGATGTGATGGGCCTTAATCAGTTTGTGAATTGTAGATAAATTTATATCCTAAAATGGAAAAAAATATAGGCCCATACTGGAAATTGTATTGATGACCTGCTGTTCAATTACGCTGTATGACGGCATTTTAAGTTCTATAAGCATCTGTAGATGTTCCCGACGATATTTCGATCCACAAAGTCATTATGTTCATCGCTGATACCAAACCTGTATTTCAGTGGTGATGTTTTCAATGGTTGCTACCAGGGGCGGATCCCCACCCCTGGCCAAAAAAAATGTTGTTTTTTTTAAAGATGGTAACGACAATTTTACTCTCTTTTTTTTTTTTTTGCTCAAGGGGGGGGGGGGGGGGGGGGGTGTTGTTGAGTAAAAAATAAATAGTGCTCACTACCCCCCCCCCCGATTATCTAAATATTTCTCACGAATTGGGTCCCTCCCGGCCTCGTCGCCGGCTGGATCCGCCCCTGGTTGCCACCATGTCGTGAGTAATCAAACAGAACTCTGATCTTACATATCAAAAGATTGACCGCATATCTCATCAAACGTAACAGATTACAAATGATCAAAAATTCGTCAATACATCCGTTCTAAATTACTCTGTTGATCCCACCTTACATAAACTGATGCTTCTGGTATTTTGTCTATGCGTGTACTCATCCTAACGTGAACATGAGCCACATGGTCAATCCTTTTCCTACCCTATGGTCAGTGGCACGCCCCCCCCCCCCCCCCCAACTAAATGTTGAGAAAGAAAAAAGGGAAAATGGAAAGAGTGAATATAGGGAGGAGGAAAGGACGAGAGAGAAAAGAAGGGGGAAATCCTTCCATATTCCCCCCCCCTCCCCTCGGTGCCCTTGTAAATTCGCATTGTATTCATCGAGTAAGGACCTCTCCATTCCCCCCCCCCCCCCCCCCCCCCGCGGCCCATGATCTTAGTGTTCATCCCCTCACCAATGAATGGATCCTGCTACGGCACTTCCGACAATGAAACATGAGTCTAGTTAAATGTACCTATAATTAGAATTATATTTTTTACACGGATGTAGGAAACGAGGCCGTTAAGGTTAATTTCCCAAAATCAGTTTTGTAAAATCTGTTTGTGCAAAAATTCTTGTGAAAATTGATGTTACGAGTCCGCTCTTGTAATTTGCAGACTAATCGATAAGCTTTCATAATTAAAAATTAATCCAATGTCTAATGTGTTGGATAACTATAAATCCGTCTTCCACGAAGTGGGTGATGAAAGCGGAAAGGAATTGCACCGTTGGAGATTATGAGATATGAAGAGAGAACAAGGGAAAAGACGAGAGAGAGAGAGAGAGAGAGAGAGAGAGAGAGAGAGAGAGAGAGAGGAGAGAGAGAGAGAGAGAGAGAGAGAGAGAGGGGGAGAATGGGATGTAGAGAAAGAGAAAGAGAAAACGGAGAAATGGGAGAGAAGGAAGAGAAATATGATTACCGATAAGGAGTAAGGCCAAATAACAAAAATAACATTTTTCTCGTCCGGATTTTAAAAAAGGGAAGAAGCAGGGCATTATAATTTTGCAATTTTTGTTACAAGATTGCTGCCATGCTTATTGTGGCCCCGGCCCCCCTACTCAGTGTTATTTAGGGTACGCATATGCTCGTACCCTATTTTTGAAAGCACCCCCTATCTGAGGACTGCCAACATTTCCGAACCCCCCTTTCGCGGGCTTTTCGCGGGCTTTTCCTGCCTTGGAGACCCCCCTAAATCAGGAAAAATGCTCAAAGTACCCCCCTAAATTCAGAATAATTTCTCAGGAGTCCAAAGAGATGAGAGAAAAAAAGAAAAACACCCCCTTTTTAAAGAAATCTCCGGGTGAAAAGTCAAATACACCCCTTTTTTTACAATTCTCGGGCCGGACTTTGTCGTACGAAAAGTACCCCTTTACCGGACATTTTGGCAACACGCATGCGGTCATTCCGACCTCTGAGTGGGGGGGGCCGGGATTGTGGCTGGCCAAGCCTATTTATTCACAGAAATTGTGCTATTTGAGTCATTGATTGTACTAATTCAACATGTAACAAAATGAATGATAATCACTTGAGAAGCTATTTAAACAAAATGTATATCACAGGGGGACGTTCCTTTTTTCCTGAATAGTAAATAGCCTAAAAAGGAAGGCGGACGGAGACGAGAAACACTTCATTTTTGTTATTTGGCCTAACGCTTGAGACAATAATATTTAATATTATCTTTGTTAATAACAGGGTAGCCTAGTCACATCAATCGGTCTGCGAGTAAAATAAACGATGCAAGCAAATAATTAAATAAAAATGAAATTAGATAGTCAGAAGAAAAGAACAGATATACAATTCAAATTCATTTAATTTTTATAGTTATATGACTTACCATTCGACTTAAAACTAATATTGTCACGATTTTGTCTCACCGGCTGGTGCCAGCTTGACCAGTGTTATAACCAGCTTAAAACATGATGACAAATGGTATCTTTTGGTATAAAATAACGATTCATCAGCAAATACTACAGTTAAATCGTGATGGAAACAAAGATTCATAATACGCATTTCATTTCCATTATCATCAGTAAAAAATAATACGGGACGAACCCGCTACCGGGGGAAAGAGAAAGCTTTTTTTTTTTGGGGGGTGGGGTTGGATCGATGGAAGATCAATAAAAGGCAGTAAACATGTCCACTGTAATATAAAATGCTTCAATTTATTAAAAAAATGCTTTCTCTTAGCCCCGGTACGTCCCGGTACCGTGTTATTCGTTACCGATGAGAAAATGAAAGTGAAATGTGTATGATGAATCATTGTATATCCATTACGATTGTAGTATTTGTTGATGAATCATTAATTTATAAAAAGAGAGCCATTCGTCATCATTTCTTTAAGCCAGTTATAACACTGGTCAAGCTGGTACCAGCCATGCAGTAACGAGACATTAAATCGCGACAATGTTAAGTTTTAGGCGTCGAATTATATGTCATACTAAATTAAATTAGACTAATTTGAATTGCATATCTGTTTTTTTTCTTTCGATTAAATACAAAACGTCAACAAATAATTTCGTTTAATGCCGTATATCTAAATTAAACAGTTGTTAAAAATGCACAATGAGACTAACATAAAAAAATTACAAGATTGAACTCCCTGATTGAACCAAATCGAGGTCTGCCCTCGAAGCGCCATCTAGCGGCTATAAGGCGCGAACGCGTACGGAGATTTAATTTCGTTGGCTATTTGAGTCGTATTTCCTGCATTTTTAGGAAGGTAAACATTGTTTTATCTCTGTAGCTTTTATCAATTTCAATACTAGGTGTATTTGAATTGACTGATACATTTTTTAATTCTACTTCAGCCCGACAATGGTGATTGAAATGAAAAATGTTTGAGGCAGTTTGTATTAACGTGCCCATATGCTCGTTTTTGTGTGGGTTATTTATATAATATTGACTGGCCTTACTTACTTGTCTTGGTAGGCCTATACTTGGTATACTTGGTTGATTAGCCCTCTTGTCCTATGGGAAGGGCTCTCAGTTTTCTCTTAAAAGTAGCCACAGTAGGTGCAGACACTATGTCATTGGGTAAGCTGTTCCAGGGTTGGACCACTCGATTTGAAAAAAAGTGGCCAGCTAGTTTTGTGTGAGTTCGTCTTTGGTAAAGTTTCTTAGTAAGTTAGTATGACATCTTAGATCTTTGTTTGGAGCAGAGAAGAACTTTTCTGAACTATTCCTATATATATCATTAAGATATTTGTAAGTATCAATCAAATCTGTCTTCTGTCTCCTCTCCTGTGGCCTTGAACTGAGGGAGATAGCCTACAACATATATTTCCCAAACTAGACTCGTATTGCCCTGAGTCAAAGAAGAGGGCATTATGGGTCTTGTGAGGGCAATATATGTGGTATCTCCCGAAAGTTATTGATTGTTGTCCAAATCAGACATCTACCCTAGACCTGGCCTAGAACGTAGAAGGCTAGAGCAACATGCAATCGATGACAATCTCAAACTCAAAAAAGAACTGAAGAAACTTTGTCAAACCAGCACTGTGCTTCGAGTGCTTGACGAAATTGTTGATACACTACAAATAGTGTGCCTTTGGTGTGATATTGTGTCACAATAGAGTGCGCATAATAGATGCAC